TTGTGTCAGTCAGCTTTCATATGATATTGTTTCTAGTGACCACTTTTTGCTTGATAGTCAAGCACTGCTTCTTGTAGGACAGAGAATGGTCCAGGGTAACTCCCAGGTATTTGGGTATGTTGCAATGCTCCAGTGGGATTATTTCCCAGGTAATCATCATGTATCATACATATTATGATGTATCTTCATCAGTATTATGGTCGCATCATTTGGAAGAAGGGAAGGAAAAAAGGAATGGAGGTAGGGAGTGAGGAGAAGAGACAGAGAAATGAGGGGAGAGTAGCTTTCATCAATACATTGCCAGATATACCAAGTAAGTAGTGAAAAATAGGTGAGCATACTAGAAAGAAGCCATTCCAGACTTCATTGTACTGAGATTACAATGGCCAAATGACTTATTAGAAAAGCACAGTGCTTTGAAAAGGCCTAAGAAATGCAGTGAATGAAAAGTATGCTAGAATTGCTTTATACTCTGTCAGCTTGAGACAGAAATTTAGCATGTAAATGCATTTAACTAGATAAAAGCACCACATTACCAAGTTGATGCAAGCAAGGGCAGTTCTGGAGTTGCATGCATTGCCATTCCGTGAGACTGTTCTACGGCTCTCCCAAGAAAGAAAATATATAGCAGAATTCTGTTTCTAAATACATTTCAATGCCTCTTTGCTGTTTAATATCCTAAAAAGAAATTCTTTTCAAAACCATAGTGAGCTTTTGTGTGTGTGTGTGTGTGTGTGTGTGTGTGTGTGTGTTTTTCTGGCAGCCTAATGGAGCATCCAGACTCTTCCAGGGTCTGGACATTGGCTCCTGAACCAGCTACGTCTGGCCCATTCTGTTGGAAATGACAACCTTCATCAAGCCTCTTCAAGCAATCTGTTTGTCTATGATCTTGTTGCTTACTGTTTCCTGTATGTATGTTCTGGTGTGCAGCTTTCTTTACTCTATGGTTTCTGAGAAGTTATAACAGGGGCTGCAGACTACATGTTCTTTCTCCCTCCCTTTGACTATGTGACCTGTTGGTGGTTTCCCATCCAAGCACTAACCAGAGTTAATTCTGTTTAACTGAAAGAGCAAAAAGGATCTGATGCATTTATGGTATTTAGGCACTACACTGTCTCTATAAGCCATATTGGCCTTGAAGGCATGCAACAAAAAATTAAATAGAGAAATGAATTTAATACAGAATGTATTAGAGAATATAATCTTTTAGAGAAGAGCCAAAAACCCTTTGGAGCACAATCACCTCTTGCAGTATACAAACAATATAATAGGAGCCCCTGGTAACACAATGAGTTAAAGCCTTGTTTAACTGAATGGTTAAACAAGACTGAAGGACTGAAGACCAACAGGTCAGAGATTCGAATCTGAGGAGAGTGCAGATGAGCTCCCTCTGTCAGCTCCAGCTTTCCATGTGGGGACATACCTCCCACAGGATGGTAAAACATCAAAACATCCAGTATCTAGATCCAGGGAAATCATGCTACTCCTCTATTCTGCTTTGGTCAGACCACACCTGGAGTACTGTGTCCAGTTCTGGGCACCACAATTGAAGGGAGATGTTGACTCTAAGCTGGATTGTGTCTAGAGGAGGCTGACTGAAATGATCAAGGGTCTGGAGAGCATGCCCTATGAGGAGTGGCTCAAAGACCTGAGCATGTTTAGCCTGCAGAAAAGAAGGCTGAGAGGAGACATGATGAGGGCCAGGTATCAATATGTGAGGGGAAGTCATAGGGAGAGGGAGCAGGCTTGTTTTCTGCTGCCCTGGAGACTAGGATGTGGAACAATGGCTTCAAACTACAGGGAAGGAGATTCCACCTGAACATTAGGAAGAACTTCCTGATGGTGAGAGCTGTTCTGCAGTGGAACTCTCTGTCCCAGTGTGTGGTGGAGGCTCCTTTTTGGAGGCTTTTAAGCAGAGGGTAGGTGGACACCTTTCAGGGATGTTTAGAATGCAATTTTTCTGCTTCTTGACAGGGGCTTGGACTGGATGGCCCACAAGGTCTCTTCCAACTCTTTGATTCTATGATTCTACTCTTCTATGAACTTTCTATCAACTCCTTGGGAGTCAATGGCAATGAATGGGAAATTCTTCCAACTGAACATAGATAGGAGAGACTGTCTGGTTGCAACTTGATGCACACTGGTTCACAAGGAAGTCCCATGAAAACCCAAGATTCATGATGGAATTGTTCCTACCTAGGGCTCAACAGGGCACTTCGAGGCCTGAAAGTCTTCCCGTGAAACTCCCAGCTTAGTTTAACAATTCTTTTTTTTTTTTTAAAAAGCAAAAATATACAGTTAGGGTACATCAAAAATCCAAGAACCTATTTCAGGGAGGCTCTCAGGCAGAATCTATAAGCAACAAGATGTTGGATTGCTATGCGTTTTCCAGGCTGTATGGCCATGTTCCAGAAGCATTCTCTCCTGACATTTTGCCCACATCTATGGCAGGCATCCTCAGAGGTTGTGAGTTCTGTTGGAAACTAGGCAAGTGAGGTTTATATATCTGTGGAATGTCCAGGGTGGGAGAAAGAACTCTTGTCTGTTGGAGGCAAGTGTGAATGTTGAAGTTGGCCACCTTGATTAGCATTGAATGGCCTTGCAACTTCTACCTTTCGGTAGAAGCATTGCCAACAGTAATCCACGCAACAGTCACCACGAGGTTGGACTATTGCAATGCCTTATATGCTGGCCTTCCGAAGTCAACGACCCAGAAGATTCGGATGGTCCAAAATGCGGCAGCCAGGCTGCTAGCGGGATCATCTATAAGATCCCATATTACACCGATTCTGCAACAACTGCATTGGCTACCAATAGAACATCGGATCTCTTACAAGATACTGATCCTGACATTTAGAGCTCAAAATGGCCAAGGACCTTTATATCTTAGGGACCGCCTCATTCCTTTTCCCCATCAGTGGTCACCTCGATCCACCCAGGAAAATCTCCTATACATACCGGGTCCTAGGGAGGCACATTTGGAAGCTACAAGGCGTAGAGCTTTTTCGATCTATGCTCCAATTCTGTGGAACTCATTGCCTCCATATATTAGAGCAATGTCGGAGTTGCGACCTTTTGTAAAAGCTCAAGACTTGGCTGTTTGGTTGTGCATTTAAGTAATCGGATCAAATTTTGCCATAGTCACTGCTGAATGTTTTTATGTTGAATGTTTTATGTTGAATGTTTTTATGTTGAATGTTTTTATATTGAATGTTTTATATTGTGTATAAGCTATTTTAAATTGTAAGTTGCTCGGAGCACTTTGGTGGAGAGCGACTAATTAAGAAATAAAGTGATGAAGATGATGATGATGATGATGATGAAAGCCTAGCTGGTTGCTGCTTAGGAGGGGGTCCATTGTTGGGAGGTGTTAGCTGGCCCTGATTGTTTCCTCTCTAGAATTCTCCTGTTCCTAGTCGATGTTCCTCCTTGGAACTAGGAGTCAAGGACCAGCATCAGCTTGGCCCCTTTCTCTCCATCCCTCCAGAGCCTGGGATCCAAAGGTATTTATTCTGTTCCTGAAGCTAGGAGTCCCTTTCCATGCAGATACAGGAAACTCCCACGGTCTCCTCCAGAGATGGGTGCAGCCTCTCCGTGTTTGAAAACCTCTTTAGTCGCAGAACATCAAGTTGCCCCTTCTTTCTCCTCTTCTCCCCTCCGCCCCTCCGGACTTCGCCTCCACCTGCTCCCCACCATCCCTTCGCCTTCCCCTTCTGCCCTCCCTTCATTCCCCACCTCCTTCCCCTCCCTTCGAAACCACCCCCTTCCCCATCTTCCTTCCTTCCAGCCTGGGTTTTATGAATTATTCAGGCGTCCTTCTCTCCCGGTGGAAGTCGGCAAGGCGATCGCTCTCTCGCTTCTCTCGCCTTGAAAGGAGCATCTTTGCCGGAGAACTTGGAGGCGAGTTGGGATCCGGATCCCAGGCTGCTGCCTCCGCCTGCGCTTCCACTTTTCCAGCCTCGCGTTTGGGGGAAAGCAGCGTATCTTCTGCCTTGGAGGAGAGTCCCAGACAAGTTGAGCTACAGCATCGGTCTGGATCGGACGGAGAACTCGCCTCAGTCAGTCAGCCAAGCAGGCAGCTAGCCAATCAGCCAGCGAGTCAGCCCATTGGTTAACTAACTAAGCAGTCAGCTACTCAGTCAACTAGGTAGTCAACCGGGAAGAGAGTCAGTCAAACAAGAAGCCAGTGAGGCAGCAAAGCAACGAGCCAGTTATATAGTTAGGTAGTCAGTCCCTCAGCCAGCCAGAGAGCCAGTCTGCCAGCTAAGTAGTCAAGTCATTCAGTCAGGCACCCAACCAGCTCGTCAGCTCCGTCCCTTTGCCATTCGAAGCGGGTCAAAAGTGCGGTGGAGACAGGAGCGGATCTCTCCCTCGTCTCCTCTTCAACTCCAGCGAAAGCCTTTGCCTTCGGAAGCAGCGCTGTTTCGAGGGAGCTGTCCACGGTGCTGATCCTGGTGCTGAAACTCTCCAACTCTCTCTGAAGGCGGCGATCGCTGGGCTGCAACTCGGAGGCCGTGTTCTTGTCTTCAGGGGGAATATTAGGGAAGAAGTGGGTCTGGATGGAGCCCCCGCTTCTCGGCGGTGCGAGTTGAGGCTTTGAGGAGCCCCCCCCCCCCCAGGATCTCCGCGGGGCGGCATCGGTTTCCCTTCCTTCTTTGAGTCCTCCTCATCCTCGTCCTCCGGGGGCATCGGGGCGCCGTGTCGGGGGCGCCGGGAGGTCATGCTTCCCGCCCGCCCGGGGGGTCGCCACAGCCTCCAGGGCCCCCGCCGGCCCTCCTCATCCTCCTCCTCCACCTCCTCGGGCGCGCAGGCGCAAGTCCCCCGCCGGCAGCAGGAGCAGCAGCATCAGCCCCGGCGGAGGTCCCTCCCGAGCTGTGAGCGCCTCCTTGCCACAGCGGGGGCGCCGTCGGCCGCGGGGGCGCCACTACCATGAACTGCCCCGTCCGCCTTCCCCCCGCGACTCCTCGGCACCGGGATCCCGAGACCCCCCTGCGAGAACCCCCTCGCCGCCGCCGCCGCCGCCGCCGACCCCCGCCACGCCCCGACCGCCTCTGGCGCCGGGGCCCCCAGCTCAATGCCCAGGATGCCGGGAGGCAAGAGGGGGCTCGTCGCCCCGCAAAACACCTTCCTCGAGAACATCGTCCGGCGCTCCAGCGGTAAGGAGGAGGAGGAGCAGCAGCAGGAAGAACCCTGGCTCCCTTCCCTTCCCCTTCCCCTTCCCCTTCCCCTTCTTTCGTCTTTTCTGTTCTTTTTTACTTTTTCTTTCTCTCTTTCTCTTTCTTCTTTACCTTCCCTTCCTCCTCCTTTCTCTTTCTTTTTTGCCTTCTCCTACCCTCCCTCCTCCCTCCTCCTCTTGCTTTCTCCTTTTCTTATTTCCCTTCCCTTCCTCTTTCACCTCTGCCTTCCTTCTCTTTTGTCTTCTTTCCGCTTCCTCTTCCTTTCTTTCTTCTTCCCTTCCCTTTCCTGTTTTGTTTATTTTTTTCATTCATTGTTTCTCTCTCCCCTTCTTCTTTCTTGTCCCTTCTTTCGTCTTTCCTTTCCTTCTTTACTTCTTTCATTCATTGCTTCTCTCTCTCTTTCTCTCCTTCTTCTTCTCCTTCCCTTCCCCTTTTTTGTCTTTTCTTGTTTACTTTTTCTTTCATTCTTTCTCTCTGTTTCTTCTTCCACTTCCCTTCCACCCTTCCCCCTCCTTCTTTCTTTTTTTTCTTCTCCTATTTATTTATTTATTTGGAAGTTTTCTATACCGGCCTTCTCACGGCCTCCTACCCTTCCTCCTCTTCCTCCTCCTCTTCCTCCTTTTCTTATTTCCCTTCCTCTTTCACCTTTTCCTGCCATGCATTCTCTTTTCTTTTCTTTTCTTTTCTTTTCTTCTCTTCTCTTCTTTCCTTTCCTTGTTTACTTTTCTTTCATTCATTGTTTTTGTCTCTCTCTCCTTCTTCTTCTTCCGTTTCCCTTCCCTTCTTTCGTCTTTCCTTTCCTTTCCTTCTTTACTTTTCTTTCTTTCATTGCTTCTTTCCCTCCCTTCTTTTTCTTCTCAATCCTTTCCCTTTTTGTCTTTTCTTCTTTCCCTTTTCTTTCATTCTTTTCTCTCTTTCTTCTTCCCCTTCCCTTCCTCCCCCTCTTCCTTTCTTTTTCCTTCTTCCACCCTTCCTACTCTCGTTTCCTCCTCTTCTCCTTCTCCTCCTCCTTCTCCTTCTCCTTCTCCTTCTCCTTCTCCTCCTTCTCCTTCTCCTTCTCCTTCTCCTTCTCCTTCTCCTTCTCCTTCTCCTTCTCCTTCTCCTTCTCCTTCTCCTCCTTCTCCTTCTCCTTCTCCTTCCCCTTCCCCTTCCCCTTCCCCTTCCCCTTCCCCTTCCCCTTCCCCTTCCCCTTCCCCTTCCCCTTCCCCTTCCCCTTCCCCTTCCCCTTCCCCTTCCCCTTCCCCTTCCCCTGTTCCTTCTTTCCCCAGTCCTTCTTTATCTCACTCTTCTTCTCTCACTTCTCCTCCTCTCTTCCTCTTCTTCTCTCTCCCCTCTTCTTCCCAACCCCCCTCCCACTGCCATCCTTGAATAAAGTGTAGCACACAAGCAGGGGAAATTATGGGCCAAACCTGCCTCAAAGTTCTTCCAAAGTCAACATATGTCAGAAGCTGAGGAAAGTATTAAAGTCAGAAGGGCTGGAGTTCTATCCACAACTTTTGTTGGCTTGTTTTAAAGCCTGAATAGCTATTGCAAGCATTTTGACTGGCACAAACACAATAGTCATCATTACCACCCTCCTCCTTATTGTTTAGTGTTTATATCTGGTGAATGATAGTTTCATAAGGAGGGAAGATGTGAAAGAGGGGAAAAATAAAATATAGATTCTGGCCATTCAAGCGTTAGATAAAGTGAGAGCAAAGAAGAGCAATTTAGCTGGCACTCTGGCACTAGGATGGTAATCTGGATTCCCATGATTGGCAAGGGTGAAAGGCAAAGGGTGGCTGAGGAGACATATAGGATGGAAGCAGACCCTCCTTGTTGTCACTTTGGGTCATTTTTCTTGAAAAAGGAGGTGTGTGTGTGTTGTGTCAGAAAAAGAAATGAGGAAAGGAAAGTAGTATCTTGCTGATGGAATGAACCAATGGGGTGGGTTTATGTAGGCAACAGAAGCCCCCAGTGGCTCAATGGGTTAAACCTTTGTGCTGGCAGGACTGCTGACTGAAAGGTTGGTGCTTTGAATTCAGGGATTGAGGTGAGCATCCATCTGTCAGCTTCAGCTTTTACTACAGGGACATGAGAGAAGCCTCCCATCTGGGCATCCCCTGGGCAATGTCACTGCAGACTGCTGACTGAAAGTTTGGTGGTTTGAATTCAGGGTGTGGAGTGAGCTCCCATCTGTCAGCTCCAGCTTCTCATGTGGGGACGTGAGAGAAGCCTCCCACAGGATAGTAAAACATTCAGGCATTTCCTGGGCAACATCCTTGCAGACAGCCAATTCTCACATACCAGAAGTGATTTTTAGTTTCTTAAGTCGCTTCTGATATGGAAAAAAATGTAGGCAACAAGAAAGCTCAACAATACAATCCACTCCAGGTCTACTATGAAGTTAGCCTCCTTGAATTCAGTGGGCCATAGTCTCAGAAAAGTATGACTAGGATGGCAACCTCAGTTGCCTTGTGCTACAATATTGCACCACAGTTGCAGAACCTGAAGCCACAGAGAAGCATCAAAGATAACTCTGTGTTTTGGAAAAGAAAGTGTTGGACAACTTAAGTCCTCATTTTTTCTGGAAGTTATCCTTCATTTATCTTGATGCATTCCCCACACATGCTTTAAGAAATAAACAGATAGACCCAAAGGGTGCAATTATGAGGAGGGGTTTCTGAGACAACAACAACAACAACAACACACTACTATTAAAATACATAGCTGAATTATAAGAACATTAAGATATGTAGATAGATGGATAAATAGATAATGTCGACAAGTGGTAATAAAAAAATATGGTGTCTTGCTGAAAGGAGGATAGGAAAGAAAGACCCCCCCCCCCCACACAATATTTGTGTGAAACTATTTCAAATCCCTTTGCATACTGGTGTGTGCAGACAAACATAATGCCTTACATAGTGCTTCTAGATACATAAGAAAAAAACTATCTGCCCATATTATACATTCTTCTTGATACTCCGTGCGTGCTTTCTTGGAAGGGAGGAGCGATCGATTAACAAAACCCAAGCTTCATGACTTTATCTTCAGGCTATCAAAAGATGCCCCTATTGCAACAATGCTATAATTTATTAAAGAACATTCTTTTACCTTTTATTGATCTATTATGTTTGTCTTTCCACTTCCCTCAGAGCTTAGGTCAGTGCTTCTCAATCTTCTGAATACTGCAACCCCTTAAAGCAGTTCCTTATGATGTGGTGACCCCCAACCATAAAATTATTTTAATTACAACTTCATAACTGTAATTTTGCTACTGTTATGAATTGTAATGTAAATATGCAGTGTGTATTTTCATCCACTGGACCAAATTTGGCACAAACACCCAATAGGCCAAATTTGAATACTGGTGGGGTTGGGGTGTGTGTGATTTTGTCATTTGGGAGTTATAGTTGCTGGGATTTATATTTCACTTACAATCAAAGAGCATTATGAACTTCACCAATGATGGAATTGAACCAAACTTGGCACACAGAACTCCCATGGCCAAAAGAAAATACTGGAAGAGTTTGGTGGGCATTGCCCTTGAGTTTTGGATTTGTAGTTCACCTACATCCAGAGAGAACTGTGGACTCAATGATGGATTGGGACCAAACTTGGCACAAATACTCAATATGCCCAAATGTGGACAATGGTGGAGTCTGCAGAAAATAGACCTTGACATTTGGGAATTGTAGTTGCTGGGACTTATAGTTCACCTACAACCAAAGAGCATTGTGAACCCACCAACAATAGAATTGGCCCAAATTTCCCACACTGAACCCCCATGATAAACAAAAAATACTGTGTCTTCTGATGGTCTTTAGTGACCCTCTGACACCCTCTCATGACCCTCCCAGCTGTCCTGACCCCCAGATTGAGAAACACTGGTTTAGGGTAATGTATATGGGATTATCCCATTTTTTCTCAGCTTTGGCACAGGGTGAGCTGGAAGAACAGTGACTCATTCAGAGCTATTCAGAGAATTTGAGAGTTTTCTCAACATTTGAACCCAAGGCAACACTCTGTCCATTGTACATGGCTGTTACACTTTCTTTCTCCCTCTCTGTAGACATTTGCAGTTGTTTTATGTAAAGTTAATCATTCTTCTCTATAAAGTCCTTATATTATTTTCATGAGTATCTTAGTGGTAAAACTCTACCAAAGAGGTAAAATGTGGTTTTAACTTCATAATTCCTGTTATGATGATATCATAGAAGGGAAGTCTAGAGTTGGAAGAGACCTCATGGGCCATCCAGTCCAACCCCCTGCCAAGAAGCAGAAAAATTGCATTCAAAGCACCCCTGACAGATGGCCATCCAGCCTCTGTTCAAAAGCCTCCAAAGAAGGAGCCTCCACCACATTTCTGAAATAATGTTGCTGCAATGCATATATACAGTCAGAATGAAAAGCGAAGGGAAGTTTTTGGTTAATGTACTTTTTGGTTAATGCAAACGATGCCCAGCAACCTGAATAGGATGAACTCAGAACAACAAACTCAGCTTTCCTAAAGTGGAGGTGGTCAGTGCCATGTCTTATGTTTTGCTCTCCTTCTCTATTCTAAAAAAGTAGTTCAGTACAGAATTTCTAAATTCTCAGACCTATGCAACACTGAACACAAATGGAAAACGATTTTATGAAACAGCTTTGTGGAATGAGAGAAGGGAAAAAGCCATGGTGGATGTACTACCAAATCTAGTTGTTAGTAAAAGGATTTTCCTGTTTCTTCTCCATTTTGTTAGTTTCGTTTAAAGGTGATTTGCCCTTCTATTAGTCTATCTAGGCAGTAAAGTAAAACTACTAGCTTCAGGGCAAGTATATTGCCCCCATATTTTGGCAGGTATGTTTTGGAAAGGATGCACGGAGGAAGATCTTTACCTTCTCTTTTGTCAGACGAACTGATGCAAGAAAGAACTAGGCTCTATCAATAGGAGTACAGAGTCTCAATCTAATGAAGTAATAGTATCACTTCATTTTGTTCTGGCTAGACCTCACCT